GCTGCTGCCCACCGACACGGGCAGGGAGCATTTCTGGCACATGCATTCCTTCCCGTTGAAGGTCACTCGGTCCCCGGGAGGGAAGGGCAGCCTGAAACAAGAGAGCTCGTTACCAGCCAGGCCCGCCTTCCGGCTCCTCTCTGGGGGAGCCCTGCCCCAGAGCAGGAGACCAGGGCCAATGTCTCCCCAGGGCTTCGCAAAGGGACCATTCACAGGCTGAGGATGCAATGCAGGGCTTCTCCACCCAGGCACTGCCGCGTCCCCGCAATAGGACCTCAGGTAGTCATTGACATCTGAGCCTCAGTTTCCTCATCCGTACCAACAGGCAGAATCATAGCGCCTAAGGTGGTGGTGAGGACCAGCTGAGGGCCAGCCCAGTGTTTGGCACACAGCAACATGCCATGCCACCGGCGCCTCCAGCCCACCCTGCCTTCCCGGCGACATGGGATGCTTTCTTCATATCGGCTCAGCAGCAAGGGCAGCAGCTATACCCACTGGGCATCTCCTGTGTGCCCAGGGCCTGCTACTGTGATAGACGCCCTGTAGGCATGCCTCATGAATAACCCCACGCCATTCAACCTAGTTAGCATTTGCTTCATGTCTTCTCTATGTGCGAGAAACTGGAGTTCGGAGAGGCTGTGTAACTTTTCCAAGGACACATCGATACGAGTCAGAACCAGAATCAAACCAAGACCTGTCTGGCTTCAAAGTTCCACGATTTATCTACCTGGGCCGCGAAGAGGGCAGTGTCTTTAAAAGCACACCTCGTAGACAGGAAGATGCTGGACAATTGGATCCTGTCTTTATTTAAAATTCTGCCATTCTGCTCTAAATGGAGTTTTTGCATTTATTTCAAATTTTAAAAATTTTGCATTAAAATATCATTTACTTGACTACTGAGTTTTCTGGCACCCCGTTAAAGTCTGCCTCCGCAGCAAGTGCCGGGAGCAAGGCTGGGTGAGGGACCGCGGAGAGCCGGCCCATCCTCCTGCAGCCCGGGGATGTGTTTGGAGACTGAGGGATGGCTCACGTAGCTGCATCTAGCAAGCTCAGGCCGGGCCACCTGCAGACGGGGCCAGAAGCACAGCCTGAGAATGCTGCCATGTCTGCCCTCGACACCTGCTGCCACCAAGCTCCCAGTAGCTGCCGGGCCACTTTCCTTCCCCAGCTGAGCCTGGCCAGAGAACCAGGTGCTTTTCAGGCAGAAGCCTGTGGAAGTGTCAGACCATGGGTGCCCCTTAAGTCTCCTGCGTGGCCAGGCGTGGTGGCTCACATTTGTAATCCCAGCACTTTGGGAGGCTGAGGCGGGAGGATCACTTGAGGTCAGGAGTTTGAGACCAGCCTGGCCAGT